TAGTGCCAAGCCTGTGGTAAAGAAGGTGGGGAAATACGATTGAATTTAAAAAAACCATCATTGAACAATATAAAAAGTGGTACAAGTGTGGCCGAACTGTCCAGGATGTATAAGAAACCCTACACAACCTAATTTTCCCTTAGGGGCCAAAAAAAATGAAATAAAGGATACTGTTGTTGCAAAGGGGAGTAACTATGCTGACAAAAATGGATCATCAGTACTGGAAGAGGTTGAGAAGTTATTATTGGTGTGGAAAATGAGAAACAATTAGCAGGAGATATCTTATGACTTCGATTATTTGTGAAAAGGCTAGGCAGTTGCATGAAGTTTTGGGTTAAAAAAATTGCCTGCAAATAGTGGTGAAGTGAGTAAATTTTAAAGGGCCCAGCAAAGGCTGGTTTGAGAGATTTAAGAACAGTACTGGCATACACAGTGTGGTAAGGCATGGTGAGGCTGCCAATTCGGACCACAAGGCGGCTGAAAAATATGTGCATGAATTCCAGGAGTACATTAGGGGCTGAAGGACTGAAACCTGAACAAGTGTTCACTGTGACGAAACAGGCCTCTTTTGGAAGAAAATGCCAAAGAGGACCTTCATTACACAAGAGGAAAAGGCAATGCCAGGACACAAGCCTATGAAAGACAGGCTGACGCTAATGTTCTGTGCTAATGCTAGTGGGGATTTGAAAGTAAAGCCTTATAGTGTACCATTCTGAAAATCCCAGAGTGTTCGGGAAAAACAATGTTATGAAGAGTAAATTGTGTGTGTTTTGGAATTCTAATAGTAAGGATGGGTCACGAGGGAAATTTTCGTCGAGTGGTTCAATGAAGTGTTTGGCCCTAGTGTGAAGGAGTATCTCCTGGAAAAGAAATTGGATCTCAAGTGCCTGTAGTAATGGACAATGCACCTGTCTCCTCCAAACTTGGATGACCTAATTTTCAAGGAGTTTGGATTCATCACAGTAAAGTTCTTGCCCGAATACCACTCCTCCCCTCCAACCCATGGACCAGAAGGTTATTGCAAACTTTAAAAAACTTACACAAAAGAAATGTTTCACAGGTGCTTGACTGTGACCACAGCACTCACTTGCCCCTAAGGGAATTTTGGAGAGAATACTTCAGCTTCCTCCACTGCAAAACCCCTTATAGGTATGGCTTGGGAGGAAGTGCTACAGGACTTTGAACTCTGCCTGGAGAAAATTGTGGCCAGATTGTGTCGACAAGAGGGATTTTGAAGGATTTGGGACTGACCCTAATGAGCCTATGTCTGTTGTAAAATCAATTGGGGCACTGGGGAGTTTTATGGGGTTGGATGTGAGTTTGGAGGATGGGGAAAGAATTGGTGGAAGCCACAATGAAGAGCTCACCACTGAGGAGCTGCAAGAGCTTCAGCAGGAGCCAAAAACATCGCAGCTCAGAATCTTGCTGCAGAGGAGGAGGAAAGAGAGATGGAAGAAGGTGCCTTCTTCAGAAATTAAAGAGATTTTTACTATGTGGGGTAAGATGGAAAGCTTTATGGAGAAACATCACCCTTAAAAAGGTTGTTGCAAGCCAGGTTGGCAACATGTACAGTGACAAAGTCTTGGGCCATTTTAGGGAAGTGTTAAAGGAGACGCCAGAAACAGAGCTTTCTCCACAGTTATTTTGTGAGGACAGGACTCCAGTGACTCTCAAAGGGGGTCCTAGTGGCATTAAGAAACAGAGAAGAGAAGCAACCCCAGAAAAAGCAAATGGTACCTGAGGTGTTGATGGAAGGGATTCCCCTCCAAACTATAAACAATCCACTCACTTCTCTCCTCCCGTCTCCCATACCTAAGAAGAATTTCCAATAAAGGTAAGTGTTATGCTGTTAATGTTTCATTCATCATTTCCCATTGTATTGTTTATGTACTACATGCATATTTCATGTAAAAATTTTTTTTGTTTTAATACTTCTGGGTGTCAGGAACGGATTAATTGTATTTACATTATTTCGTATGGGGAAAATTGATTTGTAAATCGTAAATTTCGTTTATAGTAACGGCTCCAGGAACAGGTTAATTACGAAAAACGAGGGACCACTGTACCTTCTTCCTGTCTGTTCCTAGGATACATTCTCAGGTACCTTCTTTCTGTCTGTTCCTAGGATATATTCCCAGGTACCTTCTTCCTGTCTGTTCCTAGGATATATTCCCAGGCACCTTCTTCCTGTCTTCTAGGATACATTCCCAGGTACCTTCTTCCCATCTGTTCCTAGTATACATTCCCAGGTACCCTCTTCCTGTCTGTTCCTAGTATACATTCCCAGGTGCCTTCTTCCTGTCTGTTCCTAGTATACATTCCCAGGTACCTTCTTCCCATCTGTTCCTAGTATACATTCCCAGGTACCCTCTTCCTGTCTGTTCCTAGTATACATTCCCAGGTACCTTCGTCCTGTCTGTTCCTAGGATACATTCTCAGGTACCTTCTTTCTGTCTGTTCCTAGGATATATTCCCAGGGACCTTCTTCCTGTCTGTTTCTAGGATATATTGACAGGTACATTCTTCTTGTCTTCCTAGGATACATTCCCAGGTACCTTCTTCCCATCTGTTCCTAGTATACATTCCCATGTACCTTCTTCCTGTCTGTTCCTAGTATACATTCCCAGGTACCTTCTTCCTATCTGTTCCTAGTATACATTCCCAGGTACCTTCTTCCTGTCTGTTTGTAGTATACATTCCCAGGTATCTTCTTCCTGTCTGTTCCTAGTATACATTCCCAGGTACCTTCTTCCTGTCTGTTTCTAGTATACATTCCCAGGTACCTTCTTCCTGTCTGTTCCTTGTATACATTCCCAGGTACCTTCTTCCTGTCTGTTCCTAGGATATATTCCTAGGTACCTTCTTCCTGTCTATTTCTAGGATATATTCCCAGGTACCTTTTCCTCTCTGTTCCTAGGATATATTCCTAGGTACCTTCTTCCCGTCTGTTCCTAGTACAGTGGTCCCTCGTTTTTCGTATACATCCTGGACAGTTCGGCCACACTTGTACCACTTTCATATTGTTCAATGATGGTTTTCTTAAATTCAATCGTATTTCTCACCTTCTTTACCACAGGCCTGGCACTAGGAGCTTTCTTTGGAGCCATGGTAGCTTATTTAGTACTTGCAAGCACTAAAATAAATGGAATATTATGAAATATTTCGCTGGAGCACGTGAGGGGACCTTCGCTCACTGGTAAACAATGCCAGATTGGCTGCCGCCCCGGCTCACGCCGTGGGTACGCGTCCCGGACGAACTACGACTCGCGAGTCAATCTATGAAAAGCGAGTCCATGTTTATACGAAAATACCCCTATGATTGGCGAAATTTACGATTGCCGGGAACTACGAAAAGCGGGGGACCACTGTATATATTTCCAGGTACCTTCTTCCTGTCTGTAACTAGTATACATTCCCAGGTACTCTCTTCCTGTCTGTTCCTAGTATACATTCCTAGGTACCTTCTTCCTATGTGTTCCTAGTATACATTCCCAAGTACCTTCTTCCTGTCTGTTCCTAGTATACATTCCCCGGTACCTTCTTCCTGTCTGTTCCTAGAATACATTCCCAGGTACCTTCTTCCTATCTGTTCCTAGTATACATTCCCAGGTACCTTCTTCCTGTCTGTTCCTAGTATACATTCCAAGGTACCTTTCTTCCTGTCTGTTCTGTATACATTCCCAGGTATCTTCTTCTGTCTGTTCCTAGCATACATTTTCAGGTACCTTCTTCCAGCCTGTTTCTAGTATACATTCCCAGGCACTTTCTTCCTGTCTGTTCTAGTATAATTCCCAGGTACCTTCTTCCTGTCTTGTTCCTAGTATACATTCCAGGTACCTTCTTCCCTGTTGTTCCTAGTATTCTTTCCCAGGTACCTTCTTCTGTCTGTTCCTAGTATACATTCCCAGGTACCTTCTTCCTGTCTGTTCCTAGTATACATTCCCAGGTACCTTCTTCCTGTCTGTTCCTAGTATACATTCCCAGGTACCTTCTTCCTGTCTGTTCCTAGCATACATTTTCAGGTACCTTCTTCCAGCCTGTTTCTAGTATACATTCCCAGGTACCTTCTTCCTGTCTGTTCCTAGCATACATTTTCAGGTACCTTCTTCCTATCTGTTCCTAGTATACATTCCCAGGTACCTTCTTCCTGTCTGTTCCTAGTATACATTCCCAGGTACCTTCTTCCTATCTGTTCCTAGTATACATTCCCAGGTACCTTCTTCCTGTCTGTTCCTAGGATTCATTCCCAGGTACCTTCTTCCTATCTGTTCCTAGCATACATTTTCAGGTACCTTCTTCCAGCCTGTTTCTAGTATACATTCCCAGGCACTTTCTTCCTGTTTGTTCCTAGTATAAATTACCTTCATTTTCATTGAAGGCAGAAAATATCATTTTTATCTTATTAGTAACTTAGTAATGTCCTAAAATCATGAATTTTTACATTTATTTAATTCTTATTTAGTAAAATAATGATTTATTTTTACATAAGTATGAAACTAATTGTTGATTTACTCTCTAATAATATGATGATCTTAACTAACAAAAAAAGGCACAATACCGTGACTGGAACGATACACTAAATAACCCACACATAGAAGAGTCGAGCTTATGACGACGTTTCGGTCAGACTTGGACCATTTACAAAGTTCGTCTTCATAAGCTCCTCTCTTCTATGTGCAGGTTATTTATGTATGATCTTCTGTAATTTACATATTAGCAGTAAACTGTATACATATTGTATATATGATTTATCAAGACTAAGGTGCTAAATACCTTCTTCAACACTGAGGGACTGATTGTCTTATTCTCTGCTGTCTCTAGTTTCAACACATTCAAGGTTCAGGGACTGATTAGGTACCTTATCATCTACTATTTCTAGTTTCCTAGAGAAGAGTCCCGTCATCTGTATTAATAATACACATTTTGTTATATTAATTTGCAGTTGGATTCTCCACAGTTAACAGACACTTGAAAAAGGTCTATGTTATTTTTCTTTACAGTTGCAAAAGAGTGTAAATTATTATTAGGAGATAGCAGTGTTCCAGGTCCTACTAGAAGCTGGGACACAGGAAGGCAGCCTGGGTCTAAAACACCCGTGAAAGGAGGTGAACATCGTGCAGCTCAAAACAGGAGCATATTAGACCGAGTGCAACAGCTGGAGGTCAACTTAGGCATCGATCGTCGTTTGCAGCAGCTGGATTCCAGAATAGAGTCCAACATTCAGCAGCGTAACACCCACAGACAGACTAATAATGTTCTCAAGCAGATTTTGTCAGAATTGCGCAGGATCAATAACATTTTAGAACAACAGGCCAGCTCTCAGACCAACCAGGAAGTCCGAACAACTGTCCAACATCAACACCAGTATGATCAACGCCCGGGTAGCCCAGGGCAAGGAATTATAATTGTTGAAGCGTATTCTGACCAACTCTAAATAATGTGTACATGTATTAAATCTACTGGAGTAATTTCATCTGTTGCAGCATTAACAGGTAATTATGGTACATCATCCAGTTAGCCAGACTTGAGTCCTGGAGTTGGGAAGTACAGTGCCTGCACTCTGAAGGAAGGGTGAAGTTATGTTGCAGTTTTTGAACTGTAGTATTTGCACAACTCTGGCAAGACAGTGGAGTGAGTGATGATGAAAATGTTTCTCCTTTTTTGGGTCACCCTACCTTGGTGGGAAACTGCCAATGTGGTATAAAAAAAATCTGTTCACTAAGTTAACTACAGTATTCCTCAGAATATTGAGATTCAGTTTTTATCCTTGGATATGGCATTCTGTACTATAAATGGGATATTGGCAGTTTAGAGGGATATGTTACATATCTTTATATATGCTTCTAAGCTGTTGTATCTGGGCGCCTCTGCAAAGACAGTGATTATGTATGAGTGAGGTGAAAGTGTTGAATGATGATGAAAGTACAGTGGAACCTTGACTTACGAGTGCCCCAACATACAAGTTTTTTGAGATACGAGCCGTCAATCGGTCGATTTTTTGCTCTGAGTTACGAGCCAGCTCCCCCCCCACTTCCCCCTCAACCCAAAACCTAGACACCTCTCTTGTTTATCTATGATTTCATGCTTTAATTCCATGGAAATCATTCTCTTTGTCTTACCAGCACTGTCCTTTACAATTACAGTGGTCCCTTGTTTTTCGTAATTAATCCGTTCCTGGAGCCATTACTATAAACGAAATTTACGATTTATGAATCAATTTTCCCCATAAGACATAATGTAAATACAATTAATCCGTTCCTGACACCCAGAAGTATTAAAACAAAAAAAATTTTAACATGAAATATACATGTAGTACATAAACAATACAATGGGAAATGATGAATGAAACATTAACAGCATAACACTTACCTTTATTGGAGATTCTTCTTAGTGTATGGGAGACTGGAGGAGGAAAAGAAAAGGGGATTTTTTTATAGTTTGGAAGGGAATCCCCTTCCATCAACCCCTCAGGTACCATTTGCTTTTCTGGGGTTGCTTCTCTTCTCTGTTTCTTAATGCCTAGGACCACCTTGAGAGTCACTGGAGTCCTGTCTCACAAAATAACTGTGGAGAGAGAGCTCTGTTTCTGGCGTCTCTTTGACACTTCCCTAAAATGGCCCAAGACTTTGTCACTGTATATGTTGCCAACCTGGCTTGCAACAACCTTGTTAGGGTGATGTTTCTCCCAAAAAGCTTTCCATCTTACCCCACATAGTAAAAATCTCTCTAATTTCTGAAGAAGGCACCTTCTTCCATCTCTGTTCCTCCTCCTCTGCAGCAAGATTCTGAGCTGCGATGTGTTGCTCTTCCTGCTGAAGCTCTTGCAGCTCCTCAGTGGTGAGCTCTTCATTGTGGTCCCTTCCACCAATTTTTCCACATCCTCCAAACTCACATCCAACCCCATAGAAATCCCCAGTGCCCACAATTGATTTTACAACAGACATAGGCTCATTAGGTCAGTCCCCAAACCTTCAAAATCCCTCTTGTCGACCTATCTGGCCCACAATTTTCTTTCCCGGCAGAGTTCAAAGTCCTGGGAGTTCACCTTTCCCAAGCCATACCTATAAGGGTTATGCGTGGAGATGCTGAGTGTTCTCCAAAATTCCCTTAGGTCAAGTGATGTCTGTGGTCAACAGTTAAGCACCTGTGAAACATTGCTTTTGGTAGAGTTTTTTAAAGTTTGCAATAACCTTCTGGTCCATGGGTTGGAGAGAGGAGTGGTTATTCGGGGGCAAGAACTTTACTGTGAAAGAACCCAAACTCCTCGAAAATTAGGTCATCCAAGTTTGGAGATGAGCAGGTGCATTGTCCATTACTAGCAGGCCACTTGAGATCCAATTTCTTTTTCCCGGAGATACTCCTTCACACTAGGGCTAAACAATTATTGAACCACTCGACGAAAATTTCCCCCGTGACCCCTGCCTTACTATTAGATTTCCAAAACACACACCCAAATTTTCTCTTCATAACATTTTTTCCTGAACACTCTGGGATTTTCAGAATGTACACTTGTAATGCTTCACTTTGAAATCCCCACTAGCATTAGCGTCGCCTGTCTTTCATAGGCTTGTGTCCTGGCATTGCCTTTTCCTCTTGTGTAATGAAGGTCCTCTCTGGCATTTTCTTCCAAAAGAGGCCTGTTTCGTCACAATTGAACACTTGTTCAGGTTTCAGTCCTTCACCTCTATGTACTCCTGGGAAATTTGTGCACATATTTTTCAGCTGCCTTGTGGTCCGAACTGGCAGCCTCACCATGCCTTACCACACTGTGTATGCCAGTACGGTTCTTAACCCCTTCAGGGTCCAAGGCCCAAATCTGAAGTGGTGCCCCAGTGTCCAAGAATTTTCCAAAAAAAATTTGTTATTTTTCTTATAAATGAAAAGTAGAGAAACTTTTTGCGAAGGTAATAAAACAAAAAAGTACGAAATTTGATGGAAAATTGACGAAATTATGCTCCCCGCGAATTTTGATGTGTCAGTGATATTTGCGAATCGGCGATTCTGCCGACTTTGACTTCCATTTTAGGCAATTACATCTTTTCCCGTCGACAAATTCTTAGTATTTTACTAGTATTACTTCTATTCTATCGATTGAGCACAAGAAATCGCCAAGTCAACTGTTTCAACTAACAAAATAAAGTGATCGGAAATGGTAATTTGGCCAATTTAACACAAAGTTCAAAATATTCCAATTTCAAATAGCATCCAGAATAAACAATGTAGGCATTCCTGGAAATAAACTAACATTTCCTCGGTTCATTAGTTACGTTTTGAGGCTTTACAAATAAATCCCATTTTTTATTTTTTATTTACATAATGAATTTTTATTCACACCAAAAAATAGAAGATTTTTCTGTTATGCAATATTGTAATAATTGTATAAATAACATCACCACATTTGTGAATGTGTATTAGATCCACCAGCTGGCGTGTATTAGCGTGTGAGGTCGTTTATTTACTCTTGAACATCGACAAAAATTTAAAATTTCCGCCACTTTGAGCTCATTTCAAGCCATTTCCAGTGCTAAAACCAATCAAAATCATCTTTATTTCTGTAATAAGTCTTCCATTCTATCAAATGAGACCAAGAAATTGCAAATACAACTATAAAAAACATACGAAAAAACACTGCAAAGCTGCTGTTTTAATCGAAAATCTTGGTTTCATTTTTTTTCTCTCATTATACACAGTGTGCTGCAGGATTTGTTTTATGTGGTGCACACATACCACATAGATGTATTCTCTCATATCTAGGCCCAAGTGTACCACTCACAGTTTATCAGAGTGAGCTGAGCTCATGATGTAGATCTACGGTTTGGACACTGAACGCAAAGCCGTAGATCTACGGGACGGACCCTGAAAGGGTTAAATCTCTCAAACCAGCCTTTGCTGGCCTTAAATTCACTCACATCACCACTATTTGCAGGCAATTTCTTTACCAAATCTTCATGCAACTGCCTAGCCTTTTCACAAATAATCAAAGTCATAAGAGTATCTCCTGCTAATTGTTTCTCATTTATCCACACCAATAATAACTTCTCAACCTCTTCCAGTACTGGTGATCTCATTTTTGTCAGCATAGTTACTCCCTTTGCAACAACAGTATCCTTTATTTCATTTTTCTTGGCCACTATGGAACATAAGGTTGTGTAGGGTTTCTTATACATCCTGGACAGTTCGGCCACACTTGTACCACTTTCATATTGTTCAATGATGGTTTTCTTAAATTCAATCGTATTTCTCACCTTCTTTACCACAGGCTTGGCACTAGGAGCTTTCTTTGGAGCCATGGTAGCTTATTTAGTACTTGCAAGCACTAAAATAAATGGAACATTATGAAATATTTCGCTGGAGCACGTGAGGGGACCTTCGCTCACTGGTAAACAATGCCAGACTGGCTGCCTCCCCGGCTCACGCCGTGGGTACGCGTCTCAGACGAACTACGACTCGCGAGTCAACCTATGAAAAGCGAGTCCATGTTTATACGAAAATACCCCTATGATTGGTGAAATTTACGATTGCCGGGAACTACGAAAAGCGGGGGACCACTGTACTTTCTTAGGACCCATGGTTAGAAAAGCAAAATTTGACAAAGTGACTGTCAAAAATGTAAGCAAATCAGGAGAGAACTGCTCCCACTGTGATGTAAACACTGCACTGAGTTGACTTCGTTCTGAAGCTCTCATTGTTATAATAATGTATTATTATTATTAATTTAGGGAACTGAAGCCCCTCACCAGCATCAAGGTTCTTTGATGCTGGTGAGGGGCTCTTGATCTAGGGAATTGGATATGTGCTCTAGTTCCCTAAGTTAATAATAATAATAAAAATGGAAATCATCATCTTTTTCTTCTCAGCACTGTCCTTTACACTTACTTTCTTAGGACCCATGGTTAGAAATTTGGCCAAATGACTGTCAAAAATGTAAGCCAATCAGGAAAGAACTGCTCCCACAGCGAGGTAAACAGTGCACTGAGCTGACTTTGTTCTGAAGCTCTCGTTCTTATAATATTGTATTATTATTATTATTAATTTAGGGAACTGAAGCTCTATCGTTATTGTAATAATTATTATAATATTACTATTGATAATTTAGGGAACTGAAGCTCTATCGTTATTGTAATAATTATTATAATTATTACTATTGATAATTTAGGGAACTGAAGCTCTGTCATTATAATTATTATTATTATTATTTTTATTATTATTATTATTAATATTATTAATAATGTAGAGAACTTGAGCACATATCCAGTTCCTTACATCAAGAGCCCCTTACCAGCATCAAGGTTCCTTGACACTGGTGAGGGGCTCTTGATCTTGGGAATTGGATATATGCTCTTGTTCCTAAATTAATAATAATAATAGTAATAATAATAATAATAATGACAGAGCTTCAGTTCTCTAAATTATCAATAATAATAATTATTATTATTGCAATGATGATAGAGCTTGTTCCCTAAATTAATAGTAATAATAACAATAATTATTA